GTATGATAAGCTCCGCTCGACAAAGTCAACAGCGGAGCTAAAAAAAAATAATCAACATTCATTTTCCTCAGATAATAAATGTACTGTAATAATCTCAGTGCCCCTCATAGAATAGTATACAAGAATTGTATAAAAGATCTCAAAAAATAATAGTACAGCAACATATCTAAGCAAAATTTAGCAAGAGAAATACTAGACAATGTGTCCCTTAATTAAGGTAAAAGCCTAGTCATAATTTTTGACAAAAATTGTCATAAATCGCATGACAATGTTCATTAGTTTATTATGTACAATCATGAAGCTAATGTCCCATGGTACAATGAAATAGCATTATTTTGTGTGTTACAGTTATGCTTTTTGAGAAACGTGTCCTAATATTTCTTGAAAATTGCTATTTTTTGAACAATTCCATAGAACACAATGTTAAATAAAAATTGCATTTTTTGACACTTTTTAAAACCTAGATTTTTTAAATAATTCAGAACAACAAAAAGTACTCCATCATTAACAATTTATTATTTCTTCAGCCTCTGTAACCAGGTTAGATTTTGAGATATTGTATAGTATCTTTGCCATAGGAACCTGTGGTAAAAGTGTTACAATAGTGTCAAAATGGCGACTACTGAAATACAACCATCAATTTCTCGAAAATTTTTTTTTTAATTTGTGAGTAGGCTTCTACCTTAATGCTACAGGTACTGTATTTATCTCAATGTTCCTAATAAAATAATTAACTTAAAATAGTTAAATTGCTCAAAACTTCAAAATTATGAAAATAAATGATTTTTCCATACATTGACATTCATCTACGATGCTACGGAAAAAGTAATAATGCCTAAAAAGGGTGGTCGTAATAATAATGAGAAAACAAACTTTTTGATAAGGAGGTTGCATATTAAAAACTCTGGTAGGAGATGGTAGAACTACTGTACAAAACTAATTTGTTTTTTCCCCCCTATGTCTCCGTTAATATTTTTGCTTTGCTTTATAAACTTTGGATTTTTTTTCTGTAATTTCCCCTGCAGATTTTTTTGTATGTCAGTATTTGTGTAGTATAAAAGTGCAAGAAAAATACTTCAGGATTATAGTTTTTGGGAAGAAATTGTGGTTGGGGTAAGGTAGATGGTTCAAAATAGCGACATATACCAAACTCAACACTTCCTTTGAGGACGAGCCCAAGAAGACCATTTCCTTGGACATCAGGTTGGTTCCTTGGATGATTACCTTTGTGCACTTCAAAAAAGTCAATTATTATTTGACCTTGAAATTTGGTATTGCTGTAAAATACTTAAGTTTAACTGGAATTATTTTTTGCTGAAAAGACTTTTTGGGTGTTTTGTATGAAATTTATTTTCACTGATTTTTTGACAAGTTGAATGTAAAATATAGGAAAAAAGGTATATTCGCTGGATTTTATTTTCACTAAATCACTTCCTTCAGTGAAAATTAATTTCAAGCGAAAATAAAGTATTTTACAGAAATACTGTAAACAATTTATTTCACTATTTTGATCATATTCACTGTTTTAATTTCACAAATTTGTCAAGGAAACAATGAGTTTTATT